ATGAATACACAGCACAGGCAATGGGGACACTGGAAAAATCCAACCCATCATAAGCTTCCTGAGTAAATGTGATTCAACATGTTGCACACTACTTTAGGAATAAAAGCAGTCAGTTTTGTTGTGAAAGCACTCCACAGACAGCATTTGATGAACTAAAACTCACATGCAAGACCACAAGGTCAACTTTTAGACCTCAAGGTCAACTTTTCTAAGTCTGATATAGCTTGGAGCTGCCAATCCTGTCTAATGGGACAACTAATTACCATATTCCTGCCAGTTGAACAAAATGGGGTTTCATAGAGCATCCAAAGGATTTATCCCTACCTACTAATTCCCAAGTAACACAGTCTTCTGCTCTTCTGCAATGAAGACTGAACCTGAAATACCCATACCTATCATTTCACAAATGGGCATAAAGCCAATAGAACATACAGAGAATGATCAAAGGCCAAAAATTATTATCTTTTATAATCTGAAATATGATTTTGACTCTTGAGTGGTTTAAAACAGTTGTATTTACTTTCCAATTTTCATATCAAAGCAAAATGCAAGGAAGTTGATACCACATCATTTGTATGCTTCATTTTGAACTATTTATTTTGATTTAGAAGTAGGATCAAAGAATTCCTCTTTGCTTGATAAGTAAACAGTGACATTTCAATCCAGTAATTATCATATGCATTCCTGAAGGATTCATCACTGTAAGCATCTAGAATATGCTGACCTGGGGTCACAGACACCATCTTCTATTGCATTCTTAGAGCTACATTTAAACCATACTTCAAATATTCTAAACTATGTTGTATACTGGTTATTACCCCTGACCTTTCCTAAAGCAATGCCATACACATCTGTATCCTTCTGTGTAGCCATCTTGGAAACCCTGGGCTTCCACTGGGAGGGAAAGGAATCTTACTCTATGCTGCGTTTGCATGGCTAGGATTTGGTAGTGGGAGGGCTACAGAGGTGGATTCTGTGAGAAGCTGTCAGAAGTTTCCCTTATGTTTGACAGAACTTGACTCATGAACTTTTTGTTATATTTTCTCTCCCCTGCTCAGCTGAGGGTGGGAGTGGTAGAGTGGTTTTGGTGGGCACCTGGCATCCAGCCAGGATCGACCCACCCCAGCAGGAGCAGCTCCCAGCGCTATTAACACAGCTCTTCTGTAACTACATCTCAAAGCAGCTAAGAAAAAGCTTGCAGGGTCACAGTAGTGATTTTCTAGCATATAAAACTGTTATATTGCCATTACTGGACTTTTCCTGTGTGGTTTGAGAAACTGTGGGAGACAGGTTATGGATACATCCCCTATGGCCACCTCCAATCTGCAAATACCAGTCAGGACAAGCAGAGATGGCCCAGCTATAGTAGGACAGCAAGAGCTTTGTCACACAATCTGTGATTTTTTTCCTGTCTGCAGAATTAATGGGCAGGGAGGTGGTATTTACAAGTACTAATAAATAACTTTTCTGAACAGCAAGGAGTTGTGAGCTTAGACAATGAGACCACATAACAAACAGAGTGCAAACTTGTTGAGTTAAACCCATTGATATCCACTTAGGGTGCAGCCACCTGCACCATTCCTGCACTATGGCTTTATCATTAAATGTTTGCTGATGATCAATTTACAAATGCCATTTCCAAGTCACACCATACTATTAACAATAGCAGGGAAGAACTCCCTCTCACAATGTCATGCTCAGATCACAGTCACACTTTTCCATTTGGCTGAGGCCACTTTTGCCTGCAGGAGCCCACGTTCTTCTGGAAATATCCCAAAAAACCTTGAAGATTAATTTAACTTTTTTATCTCTACCAGCAGCCACATTTCTCAAGCTGAAAGGATCAACTGAAGAGAGACCACTGCATCATACATTTTGAAAAATAAGGGCTGGATGAATTTGTGTTTTGCCTTTGATAGATTCATCACTAGATGAGCTAACAGTGAAATAATTTTTCCTATTAGTACTATAGTGGTGATGTCTGACAAGTGTTTTGGGCTTCATGCTATGTCTGACTCAAAGAACACATGGCTCTGTAGCAAACTTAACGTGACATTTTTGTTCAATATTTAACAACTGTTCTGTCTGGAGAGCTCCAAGTCATTCATCATTATCTCCTTCAAAATTACAGCACATCAGAATGAGTGTTACTCATGCCTGTTGTGCCCCTTCATTAGCAGACCTAGGTAAGAGAACAATTGCAGATTATCAGTTTACTGTGATGCTCCCTGCACTTTCTGCACTAATACCTGTGGAACTACAGCAGATAAAAAAAAGATCACAAGAACTTTTTACGGTCTTCTCCATTGAGCTTTTCTTTCTACTCTTCCATACACTAGAAAAGGACACCAGAAATTATTTACTACTTGATGAACATGTCTTAGGAACTCTCCAAAGTACAACGGCTAAACAACAGCTTCCCAAGTGGTGGAATTTAATTATCTTCCTTGATTTCATTTAGTTTATCTACTTCTAAAGCAATTTTTTCAGACCTACAGTACACATACACACTTTCAACTGTCCCATACTGAATGCTGAGTCTCCAGTTATTCAGGAGGTCAAGCAAAACATGTGGCAGCATCTTTCAGGACAGAGCACAAGTCAAGACTTCTCTTCTACCTAGGTGCCAATTTTCATCAAATTTATAGGATTTATAGCATTAAAATCTCTACATCCTTTTTTTTTTTTTTTCACACTAGGCAACAATATAGTCAAAATTGTGAAGAGGCAGTCAGAAAAGAACAAATATAGGAATAGATTATATGACCATAAGTCTCATTTCCTCTGAAAATCAGGATAAAAAAAGAACACACATACACACATGAACTGAAATTCTTAGTATGAAGAGATACTAAGGAAAGTTTTGTAAGGAAAATGAAAATATTCTAAAAAGTTAATATCTAGTGCTAGCAGATTTCTCAGACAATGAAAGCTGTCTTAAAAGATTCAGAAAAAATGGCATAAGTAAATTTTTTGCTCCAAAGCAAAAAAACTAACCAAACAAAAAAAACCCACAAAACAAAACAAAGCCCACCAACCCAAAAAACCCATCCCACCCCCCTCAAAAAAAAAAAAAAAGTCCGAAACACTACCCAATGGCAACCTAGTGACTGCTTTAGTTTAGTTTTTTACATTAAGGAGATAAACACATGTCAAAGAATAGGTGGGCAATAATATCTGTAAGGGAAACTGTAGCTGAACAAAACTATGGCTTGTTCCAAGTCTGATAAAACCCCAGATCTTCAAGTTGTTCCCCATCTCTGTGATGATCTTTTCATACAAATACTGAAAAATTGCTTCAAGTTCAGGTTTTTTCCTCCCAAACATCCCATCCTCAGCCTCCTGTACAGCAGTAAGAAGCTGTGAGGAGCCTACTCTCCACAGAGAATCCCACTGTTCTCCTGATGGGAAGAAAGTGTTCAACTAAATTGCCAGTGGGATTTATTTTTAATGTAGAAACAGTTGCAGTGGTGTAATCCAAAAGACACAGATGGTAATCTGTCTAATTTGTACAGAGTAATTAATAGCATTATAACACACTGTCAAAACAGGGCGATAAAAAAAAAAACAAAACAAGAGCAGGTTTCCCTTTTGACTGGTTGTATTATCAAAAACTGAATGTAGATTTTAGATACATTGCAGAGGAAAGAAAAGACTTAATTCAATTCAGACCTCATAGTCTGAAATAGGCAAAGGAAACACAAAACAGCTCCAGATGGTTTCTGGAAGAAAAAGATGGAGTTTGAAAAGGATGATGAAACTTTTGCTATATGGACCTCAACGTTTGGCATTGGAGAGGGAGGTCATTATAAAATTATGTTACCACAGATGAATAACATTTTAAGTTCTCTAAAGTCTTAATTGATATTTTACTTTGGCTCTTGTCTGACTTCTCACCATGTACACCTGGAGCAGTAACCTATCTTAAACAAAGCTGTTTTCAATATTTCAGACAGCAAAATATTTACTAAATATTTTAAATCTTTCTGTTCAATAGCCTACCTTATATTTAGATCAATGTTAAAGTGCTACTGCTTTATAGTAGCATGTCTTGTTTACCTGAAGATGCTACTTGAACTCAGCTCATCTCTCTCAAAACTAAAATGTGATTTGCTAGGAAAATCAACCCAAAATTTGGCACCCACTGTCATTGTTAAGGACCCACAGATAGTTTTGAAGCTGCTGTAAAAACAGCAGGATGACACCGATACTTTTTTTGAGTTGGATTTTTTATGCACATGTCAAAAAATTGTTATTCACCTCATGGCACCTGAGTCAAGATCAGCTCTGGTGAAGAGGATAATAAATGACTCCCTAGGCAGAAGCAAATTTATCAGCAGTAGTCTACAGGACTGACAGCTGGGTAATCCACAGTAGGGGCCTTCTCTTGAATAACACTGTCAGCAAGTTCATGAAAGTCTCCTGTTTCATTCAGTAATACAACACTGACAGAGCAGAAACTCAAGCAATTCTGCTGCTGTTAGTGTTGCTGACCTTCCTCAGATTACTCCTCTGGAGGGTTAAAAAAAAAAAAAGAAGTGATGTTGAGGTACTAACGAGCTGTGAAAGTCAGGAAATACCCGGGCCACAAGACTTCACATTTCTGTAGGTGTGTTTTCCTATTAGAGCAAGATTGTCTTATTCAGAAAGGAAAGATTTCTTACAAAGGTTTCTTGTGCTTCAGCTAAATATGTAACCTCAGAATTCATCCTCCACCCACATCCATCCACTATTGCCATAAGAATATCCATACTTTTTAATAGTAAATTTCATAGGTTTTAAAAAAAATACACTGTAACTTTTAGGGACATCAGTTGTTTCACAGACATGAAACAGCAATTTGAGAGTATCAAAACAAATCTATTCTGTACAAGAAAGCATAGTAAATAGTTTAAAGACAAGTCATGGATCGGTATCATGCAACCAAATTCCCTCATACAAACACAAAAAAAAAAAAGGAGAAAGTAAAGGATGTATAGAACAAAAAAGTTTTCATTGACCTGATTTGTCAGAGATGCTGGCTGTGACTGGCGTGGTGGAGCAGCCCGTGTTAACCTTTGCGCTGTCCTTGGAAGAACCAGCTTTGGGTTTGTTTTTCGTTGCCTCTAGTGCTTTGACCTTCTTGGCATGTTTACTTCCTTTGTAGTGGGCCTCGGCCTGGCTCTACAAAGGAGAACAAATCAGGCTCACTTTTTTTTGCACTTGTATATAATACAATGGATGGCAAGGCAGAAAAGTGATACTTTCAATAGTAGGCACCATATTATTCCACCTAAAAAAAATTTAGTAGCTTTATACTAACACTTTTTATGGATGTGACTTCTTATATATTCAAATGACAGGATTTTAATGAATATTACATATTTTCAGTAACTTGGAAAAAGAGGTTTCGAGATCACATAAAGCCCTGTCACTCCTAATGTAATTCTTTACTTCTATGGTGCTTAAAGAGTTAAAGGACTATACAAATGTAAACACATCCAATTCAGAAAGATGCTCTCAATTTTTATGTGGTGTTCCCGAGTCTTTATTACTTGCAGTCAGAAAGATGTATTGTGCTGAAACATGATTAAATAATCCATTTTTCCTTTGTTTGATCTAATACAGATGTCATAAAATACTTAAACCTTCATTCTAACAGCAACTGAGACAATTGAAAAAATATTACTTGACTATTAGATCAAAAAATATGGGTTAAAATGAGGAAACACCATACCTGTGAACTTCAGTAGACCCAAGTACAACATAAAAAACTAAATATTTGCCAGTCTTGATTGCTTCATAAATTGCCTTGAATATTATTTTTTAAATACTAAGAAAATTGGAATCTGAAGGACAGGGAGAAGAGGAGCTTTTTAAAATAATTATTATTCATTTTGTCTTAATCTGCTCAAACAGAACAGTATAAATATGTACTGAAAAGTTTACTTCACCTTTGCCTTAAAATTGTCCTCAGAAACTAGGTCAGTGTTTTTGAAGTAGCACAGCTAAAGCTAGACACAAATACCTGCCCATTTTTTTCAGTGATATTGAGTCCCCTTCATTGTTCCTGACTCTATATAATCAGATGCCTTGAGAAATCAGGCCACTTTGTTAGAAGCAAAACTAAGGAACTACATACTTAATACAAACTCCAAAGCTTGGAAATTTCAGCTAATGAATTTAAGTGTTTTTCTTGACTTCTTAATAAATTAATTTACAAAATAATGGGCAACAAAAAAGTCCTATCCAAACCAGTGTGTCTTCATGACATTGTACTATTCAGCAATAGCTTTGCATTATTAATATTTCTAAACACAATTTTAAACCATCATTTCAGGCATACCGCTAGGTGCCTCTATTGAAGGTTACATATTAACCAAAGAAGTTAATATTGTTGTTTACTTCAAATTAAAACACTCAGAGAAAGCATGCTTCTTCTAAGCACATCTTGGTACCTGGCATATAAAAACATCAGTGCAAGTAAACTTTCACTGTGTTCATGCAAAACCACATTCATTCTCTCTTGCCAATCAATTATCTACTACTTTATTTAGTTTGCTGTGTTAAATGAAGCGAGCCATGAAACGAGTCACATGCTTTTCGTAAAGAGCAACTATAATACCTAAGATGCTTGAGCTCCATAAAGAGTGCTGCCATATGAGGAAAATTGTTTTAAGATCAGCAGAAATGGGCATTACAATATAGTCACCTTAGGACAGCATGTAGTAACAGCTTTATCATATGGTAGAGGAGAAGTGAAGAGTAGAAAGAGCTGGAGTGGGCAAGAGAACAGACAGCATCTTGGAGTCCTCACACAGGTAACTGGCACCATTGAACTGATGAAGAATTGTTGCTAAAATAGAGGATTGAAGTTCTTACACACCAGAACTTCTTAAGTGATTTTACAGCCCATGAAACAGTGCTTTCCATTTCAGAAGGACAGTGTATGTTGCTGTGGGTGCATCTTTCCTTTCACAGGAGATTTTAGTAAGCAAGCATTCAAGCAAGAAAGGCCGCTAGATTAGTTTATCTTGAATTCCTCTGGAAGTGAGATAGCTTTTAAAAACTTTATTATAAAAACAGCAAAGAGTTTACTCACCAATTGCTATTAAAATATTTCTTGACCTTAAAACCTTTGGAATATTAACACACATACAAACACAATTTAAGGATCATAAAGAAACAACTAACCAGCTATACCACTAGTACTATGTGCACTACTTAAAGGGACACTTGTCAACTTCTGGTTGGATCTGTCCAGTTCTGAATGCGGGCATAGGAGCACAGTGCTGTTTTTGCCCTGCTATGCCAATGTGCCTTATGAGGCAGAGGAGTCCCATCCTGTCTCTGTCCACCTTTGCTGGGTTTCTCCCATTTCTCTTAAGCTTTGCAGCTGTGACATGATGCACCAGAAGGGACGTTTTCCACCAACAAAATTCAATGAACTATTCACACACTGCAGTGTACAAAATGTGGAGCCAAAAATTGGGGTGAATGTATACCCTTTCCATTCCAAAACTTTTAAATTTAATAATAGCAAGTACAAAATTGTCCACTCAAGCATCCTCAAGTTGATGATGTCCCTTTAAATATTTGAACTCTATGCTCTGCGCATATGTGTGCTGTTGATAGGATCATATGCTGCCTGAGGCCAAAGCTATGACATAAGAGACATAAATGCACTCAAGAGAAAGACTTAGTAAGTCAATTTCTTGATAATAAGCCTTTCTGCTGATATTTGCAATAATAATGCCTGCAATATCAGTAATAACCTACTACAGTTTTTGATTCCCTTCATTCAATCCTCATATAGTGTACATGAGACCTGTTGAGAACAAACAAGCCCAGGCAGAATTAAAATTAAGATTTCCATAACAACAAGGAAAGCTTCATGGAAACACAGTGAATGGACTAATTTTTCATCTTTCTAATTATTATAATCTATCAAATTCATAGCTGTATCTTATAAGGCGAAAAAATATTGCTGTGATCCATCTAAGCAAGGGTTTGGAAATGCCATCCTTCTTCAGTACTATTCAACCTAGACCATATTCCTTTGGGGACGGGTGGGATTCTCCAGGCTGGATTTTAAAGTAGTTAGGGGATACAAAAATCTACCTTTAAAAATGTTTCAGTGCCTCACTTTGTCAGTTATTTGTTTCCACACTGACTTTGTCAAGTTTCAGTTCCAGGGGCTGGATATTGTTAAAACTTTGGTTTTTAGACTTTCTCAACTCATCTCTGTTCTGTGAACAGAAACACAGATACTCTTTCCAAACATGAAGTTAGAGGAACATTCCTTAAAGTATTGAAGCAATCTTTCCTAATCACATAAGCACTGTTTTCTACTCCTTTCAGATACACTTGAAGTTCAGAGTTTGCTTTTTATGCACTGTGGGATAAATCATTTGATTCAGCCACCTTTTGGTAACTGTAAATGCTGTATTACCATGTTACATAAACCTTTGGAGTTTTCTGAAGTCAAAGGAAGCAAAAAGGGCAGCTGAAGCAATCTGAAATTGGAACTCAAGTTCTGATTATTATTAATACCAATTTTGTGATTATTAATTTCTTGATCCTTAATAACTCTAATTCTTTAAAATATTTGCAAAAGCACCATATATTAAAGGCAAACATATTTGTTCCAAGTCTCACTTACTCGTGACATAATACAGCCTTAGAGCAGAGGCTATGAGCTTTATATATGATTGAAATACTAGATTTATCTTTGAAGTAAGCCATGATGAATATGATTTTCATTTTTAGTTAAGGCAAGAAGCTGAAAATTTATTTTCATTTGCTCTGGTAATCCATAGGAATTTTTGTACACATAGGGTTCAAAATTCATGTGCATAAAAGAAAGATTATTTTAATATAAGTTCCCACTAAAATATAAAGTCAACTTCAGAGTAAATATCTTTGGGATACAATATTTTCAATGGATACTGAAGGTACTTTTTGACTATCATTAAATACAACTAACTCATGCAAATTTTGTGTCAGCAAAACAATATTTAAGAAAACAAAAAGATTAGGAAAAAAACAAAATGAAAATCTGTTACCTCAAAATATCTTTCTATACTCATGTACTATAATGATTTTAATTGCAAACTACTTGATTCCAGTGTGTACAGCTGCATTTACTGTATGGATTAATTCATTCTACAGTAAAATAATTTATCTGTGCCACAATTCAATATTATTTAAATATTTATTTTTCATTTCAAAAAGATTTAGTTACACCTATTGCTTACATAAGCTGGTATTAAACCTCACCATTGTACTATCATTATTACAATTTTGAAATTAAATGTATAATAGGTTAGGAGGACACTTTTTGAGAAAGTGGAATAAGAAAATATTTCTAAGAAATAACTCCTTAACTGAAAGGAAAGTTTAATTTTGAATTGAATTTAAAACTGACTGTGATCTACTAGCTTGATATGCATACATTGCAACATGTCAAAAAAGAACCTGCCTACTTATTAGACAGCACAGAAGGTCATCAAGTATTGGCTAGTAAGGTTTAATGAAAAGAGCTTTAAGCTGCCATAAATGTGACATTATGAACCAGAACATAAAAAATACCTTTTGTACTGACAGGCCTAATTCCAAAAAGGTGTTTATACATTTGTCTAGCATTACTTCTTGATCAGTGGGAGGCATATTTTATGACACTAAAAAATATGTCTACATATTTGTAAGACCATGACTTAGTGAATAGCTGTATTTTAAATTAAGTTGCAAATACTTAATATAATTGACAACTATGTAATTTCCCCCACAAATTTTCTAGTTTATACACTTTAAATTTATACACCTTAGTTCTATCCACAATCTTTTATTACCAATTTAAAACCCCTAACCAACCAATCAAACCTTATGAATGCTTTAATTTTTAAGAAAGCCTCTATGTCATAAAGATTAATGACTTAGCTGCAAGAAAGGATAGCTTTTTCTACTCTTAAAAATGATACAAATGCAATATTTTATTTAAAATTGCTCCTTGCAACTATAAATTATTAGGTTTGAAATCCAAGCAGGACGTTAAACTGTATGACTACATACAATAGCCTTATGTACTAGACTGCATTGAATAGAACATCAACAATTTAAATTATCTTCTACGTATAAACAGGCTTTTGAAAATGTGAATGACATCAGCATAGCGTAGTGCTTAA